AGGCACTATGCTCAATTATTTACTACATTATTATTTTAGCATTAGTTCTTAGGTGCAGGGTAGATCTACAGTGAACAGGACACGAGGTGCGCGCGCATCACTAGCTCAGCGTAGTAGCCAAGGACATCAACGACATCTAGCCGGAGAGGGCCAGGCGAAATCTAGACAGGCAATGCATGCAGACCCTACATTGTACATTGCATGTTGGGGTTACTAACGGTGGGAAATGGTGCCCACGGGGTTAAAGTGGTGGGGGCCAGCACAAATCATTGTACTATGCAACTAGTAAAGGTATGGTACAGTGCACAGTATGCAGTCAGTGTCAACACTGGATGCTGGATTTTTGACAAGAAACACAACTCACCGGATGGCCGGATTATTATTGTTACCGTATTCTTTATTTCAGGGATGAAGGTAACCTAGAGGCGGGTAGCCATCCAGGGGTTCTCCGCTTGTGCGATATTGATTGGGTAGCATAACAGGGGGGGGGGGGGATAGAATAAGGTAGCCAGACACATGGAATGAGGCAATAAAATCGGCCAAGACAGAGTGAATACAGAAATAGGCCTGGGGACGATGTCGAAAAACCGTAAATTGATAGAATAGAACAGGGGAAATATTATGCATTGGGTAATGAATTTGCACATAGGCTGAAGGGTATAATTATATTCGTCACTGATTATTGTTGCTGCTGAGAGACCATCATCAAGACAGAAGAAGGGGAGAACTAAGTGAAGATGACAAAAACACATGCATAGTCAATGTAGCTTGAGTGCTTTGTTTCTTTATGGCTCATTGACGACACCGCGATGCCCACCACTAGGACGATCGGGAATAGGAGCGGGCGTCGGTGCACGAGTGCGAGCCTCCTCGCGAGGGAGCTCCTCACGGACCTGCAGCTTTGGTGCCGGATAGACGAGGGTTGGACAGCCGTCGCACGGTGCCTTGGGTCCAGAGTAGTCACTGCGATGTTTGCAGATGATGTACTTGTGCGTGTGATCGAAGAAGTAGCTCCAGACACGACGCATGTGGTTGGCCAGGTACGGCACAGCGCACGAACGTTGTACTGTGTTGTACTTCCAGTCGATGTCGTTGACGCCTGTGACAAACCAGCCAGACCAAGCACCGCTGAACCACTGGATCTGGTAAGCCACGATATCGCCACCCTCGATAATGTAGTCTGCGTTGGTGTCCAGTCCAGCTACCCATCTACAATCGCTAGTTCTTCTACGTGTAACCTCCGTACACTGGGATTGGGAGCTTAGCTCATGATTAACACAGTCACTACCGGAACATACAGCAAGAGCACTGTGTCCAAACACAACAACCAACACCACAACTAGACTAGCTACCGCCCATATCTTCATGATTACAGCAGCGTGAAGTGATGGCCAAGGGGTTCAAGGTTGTGGAGGATTGCTCAACTTTGCTGAACTCAAATAATTAATTGAAGCTTGGGAGAGAAGTGTTCTGACCTTTGGCAGAAACTTGCACTCCTTTTATACTCTGCTCTTTTGTTACTCGTTTCCCATTATTTTGGTAGCATCTTGCCAATATCCATGCGGGGAATAACGTCCACGTTTTTGAACTGTCTTCTCGATGTATAATGTATGTGCCGCCACTCGCTCAGGGTGGAAGCGACAAGTATATTGTGAGGTTGAAGGGGGTTGTGGTGAAGTTGGAGTCACAGAAAATGGACGTGACTAGTGCACGTCACCGGAGCCATGCTTATGAATAAAAGTAAAAGTAAATAGGCTCCGTGGGAGCTTTCATGTATATGTCTGTGCTCAGGATACCACCATTGAGGTGCTCATGGATACAACCCTGGAGGTGCTCATGAAAAGGGGTGACGAGCGTGTACGCCATTGAGTCATGACCTTTGTCCGAATGTGTTCTTACAAGTGTATGGCTGGTTGACAAGTTACTATGATCAGCGGGTGCTAAACACAACATTCTAGCTAGAGTGTTGCGATCGGCTCCTCCTTCTTTGAAGCTGGACGCGGTCCATCCCTCAGATACTCCTCGCCAAGCGCCCTGGGATCATGTGTGGGAGTTTTGAATAATACGCTCTTTCATAGCATGCTATTGTTGAGTGTGTGAAACCCTACGCGGCAAGAACTGCCATGCACTCATCTCAAGCTGAAGGGATTTTCATTTCTGTGACGTATAATAAATTATGTATTTACTTATTTACATGTATCCTCGCAGGTTGAATAGCATTGTCACACATACGCACATATGCATGTATGCATGCGTCCTGTTCATCACGTTACTTAGTGTACAGTGCAGTACAAAGTAGTGAAGTGTTTTCCATCATCTTGTACACATCACCCCCTCCCCCCTCTTCACCCGACTCGAAGTAATTATTCTCTCTCATCCAGCCAGTCTTTTGTCTTGTTTTGATCCTGTCATAACGGAACCTCTGTCTCTGAATCAGCACCAGTCAAGGTGCTGTCATCGTGGCATACATGTACATGTAGCCTTGTAGGTCGAGGAGGCATTCAAGGTACATGTATATGCTGGTCGGCTGGTCTCTTGCTCTTCCTAAGTCTTAGTCCAGTCCATTGATAGTGGCGGCAGCGTAGATCTAAGTGTCGGGTCATCTACACGTCGTTCACCATCTGGTGGCGCCGTTCATTCAGTGTGATACGTGTTACACAAGGGATGAGTGGTGGTATGTATGGTAGCGGTGGACATGTTACACTTTACGTGACTGTGACGTACAGTAAAACACCTGTCAAGGTGACCACTCGGATAAGGCGACCACCTGTCCTGGAAGACCACTGAAACCAGGACCAAGGGATGCTATTTCCAGTCAAATAACCCTGGATTAGGAGACCACCTGGTAGCAGAGACCACGTTTTCAAGGTCCCTTGAGCGGTCGTCTTAGATATGTTTCGCTGTACACTGTTCTACGTTGGCTTGCATGTCACTAGGGCCCTTTCAAGGTCTAGTCACTATACTAGGGCCCTTTCAAGGTCTGATCTACTCAGTTGCGGAAGATCGTGATGGGTTCATCTGGAAGACCCTGACAGATGGTTTGACAGATGGTAGACATGCTAGGTGGTGACATGCATGCGGGAAAAGGGGATGTACGAAAATTAATGAAAATGCATGGCACGATCACGTTCTTCAGGAACATGCCTGTATGCATGCACTCCACCCGTAGCAAGAGTATTACACAGCCTGTACCTAGAGTGGATGCAGGATTCAATGAACATACTCTTAGATGATATGCGCGTGATGATCTTGGATGATAATGAATGGTGTCTCCAGTTGTACCGTTTGAGCGTTTCAAAAGTCTTTCAGGCGCCTTAGCCGTTGATGGATAGCTTACAATTGAACCACAGGGAGAGTAAGCGACTGCCGTATGTTTACTACCCTCTGCATGCTAAGCTGAATGCTTTTAAACACTTTCTGCGCTGCTGCCTTCCGCAGCCATACCTAATTGCACTGATCATCTGCTGCTACCTTTCAAAACATTCACACATGAGCACAGTTCCACATACTCCTTAGCCAATAGAATCTATAGGCACTCTGACAATATTATAGCTTGCAGCCAAATTTTTCAGATAATCTTTTTCCTGTGTGTGCGACACCACAACTGAACATCATTCCATATATCTTGCCTGCAACGAACGGGTCTATACTTGAACTCAGACAGTACGAGCTAAGGCACTTTCTTCACTCAGACTGTACCCTAAAACAACATTGGACTTTGGTTGTTAGCAATATCATCCTAGCTTAGTTGTGACTATTCAATGTGAAGTTCCTCTTGCCTGTACATATATTTGTAAAATGCGTAGAGTATAGTGAACTGCGAGCATTTACATTACTGCGTGGGATAAGAGACCCAAGTGTTATCCTGTTCATACCACACTGACGCCACCGCAATCAATTCCTCCGTTCGTAAACAAGGCAATTTGCACTTTGTGCTGACGAGGCGATGAACCGAAGGCTAACACCACCACCACCACCACCACCAATGCTCGGGGTTGAGCCATTGAAATTGATTTCCAGTTTCGTACTTCTTGTAGATTGCGCGACAGTTCGTTCAGGACCTCCTACTCATAATGATCATGTGGACACGTGAATGCAAACACAACTGGGTACACAGTCCAGGCAGCAAACTACCACAGGACAGCCAATAGTGGCCTGGTAGACGAACACTTCTAACACACATGAGCCACGGAAATGGGATAAAGGGGGAAAACTATGGTTAGCGCAACCAAGACAAGCACGACCTGAAAATGGTCTTGTCAGTATCGTCATCGACATGCATGAGCATCCGCCAACGTCATTCACAGCTGAGACTTTCAGCTGGTGCTTGTCTTGGTTGCGTTCACCTTCTCCTCCTCTGTTATCATTATTAGAAGTTAGAACCTTCCAAGTTGGAAGGCTGTTGGATCGAGTGTGCATCCAAGATGTGCCAGAGCTATTAGCCAGTTAGTTGTAGAACGTCAGTACCGTCGGTCAGTGTCGTGCATTGTTATCGCATGAGCTGATTGTTGAGTAACTGGTGGTGTTAGTGGACATTATAGCGTAACTTGTAGTTCCTTGGTCCTTTTTCTTGTCTATAAATGATATCGTCTGCAATGCCATTGCCAGAAGGTGATTCCATTGAGAAGTAGAGCGGAGGCGGAGCTTCGATTTTCGAATTGAATGGTCGGGTTCAAAATTAAAGAAGGTCGGAGACTCTTGTCTTAGGCTGACCCCGGCACGTCCATTCCTAACCAAAGCTCTGTGTGTTGCTGTCATGATCACACTACGACACCAGAGCAGAGGGTCACGATCAAAACGCATAACGACGCTTAATTGACAGGTCATGTGTCTGCTGCATTGGCATCAATGCCAATGGCCTGCAGAGTCCACTGTAGAACGTGATTACTATTGGATTGATCATTCTGTCTCTGCACCTTGCCACTGCACATGCATGGCGAGACCTACTGTTCATGCATGGCGAGTGCATTAGTCTTGCACAATGACTGACTTTGTACAGGTGCACTTTCGGATCGCCATCATGAAAAGATCATGTCAGATCTGCTTGGTGTCACTAGGACGTTATCGAACACAGCGCGAGGTAGGTGGCCGCTTGACAATGGCCTATGTTACACTGCCGTCATGATGTCTCTTGTCCTTGCCAAACCATTCTTCGTTGTTCTTTGACATGTTCAATGTGGGTTGGACATGAATGACTGACTGTTCACGAATCTCTCCATCTTGATCGTTTCATGTACATGCACGTGTCGAGTCCTAAAAACACTCGACACGTACACATTTTAGTGTACCCTTGTTTTTTTGTTTTCACAGTATGGCCCAACGAGCAAAACAGACAAGCTTTGGTGTCTGCTCGTCCCATACATTTAGCGGTAAGCAGTTACGGTCCTCTGAGGATGTGTCTCTGGGGAGTGGCGACCTGATCGCCTACGCAGTTTTCAGATTTCACATCATGAACGGGAAAATCCTTTCCAGTATTTTCTCAATAGACCTAGATGTTGTTAACCGTTTGCTATAGAACATTGTACTCCTCTGCATGAATAAGGGTAACATAATGGGGTTTGTCCTCTAGTCTTCCTACGTGATACCCCGCTCACGATCCATACCCAAGTACACGGGCGGGACAGTATAAAAGACAACGATTTCGAGAAGTCAAAGCAGAATTCCCCTCCACTTCTCTTCCTGCGCATCAGTTCTTGACTCTAAGAAACCTATCTTGTAAATAATATTTGAATACTCTTGCCTTTAGTCAATCAGTTAAGCAACGTTTCCACTGCTGTAATCATGAAGATATGGGCGGTAGCTAGTCTAGTTGTGGTGTTGGTTGTTGTGTTTGGACACAGTGCTCTTGCTGTATGTTCCGGTAGTGACTGTGTTAATCATGAGCTAGGCTCCCAATCCCGGTGTACTGAGGTTACACGTAGAAGAACTAGCGATTGTAGATGGGTAGCTGGACTGGACACCAACGCAGACTACATCATCGAGGGTGGCGATATCGTGGCTTACCAGATCCAGTGGTTCAGCGGTGCTTGGTCCGGCTGGTTTGTCACAGGCGTCAACGACATCGACTGGAAGTACAACACAGTACAACGTTCGTGCGCTGTGCCGTACCTGGCCAACCACATGCGTCGCGTCTGGAGCTACTTCTTCTCTCACACGCACAAGTACATCATCTGCAAGCATCGCAGTGATTACAGTGGACCCAAGGCACCGTGCGACAGCTGCCCAAGGTTCGTGTATCCGGCACTGAGGCGGCCCGCGGCACCTTCTCGCGACGGTGAGCCATAATCAAACACCCTAGTCTAGCGAATGCGTCTGTGTAACAACAGAAGTGTTATAGAATCTGGATCATCACATCTCTATCAGAAAGCTATACTTCATTTCATGGTATCCATCTAATCTCATGTATTCTTTACACCGCTGTTTGTTCAATATGATCCCTATCTGCTGGGATCAGTTCGTTGGCTATCTTGCACCTGAGTGTATCTCAGTGTCCTTTATCACCTTGCATCAGTGCCTGATGTTAGATCATACCGCGAAACACGGCTAGAATTGTCCTCCACATCGCTCCCTTATAGACATTATCACCTGTAGAGCACAGCAACCTTCACTGTAACTTCCTTGCGCTTATTCTGACTTTTGTCTTTTCTCCATCTCGGGAAAGTGCATGGCATTCTCATAATTATGATAATTATTATTCTGCTTTGCGCACCAGTTGTAATCCCGCATGTGCATGACTGAACAATCATGTACATCCAGTCATGCACTTTTTTGCTTTAAACGATATCTCACACTGATATGACAAGGTCATGTTGCAGGTGTTATAGCAAAGACTCATTTCGATCGTTGTGAGTGATAAAGGCGGTGGGAGAGCACTTTTCAAGTGGCTGAATTGCATGTTGACCGCACAGCGTATTATTGTGGCAGACCAGGCCATACTAGCTGGCTTGTGGGAGTCCGGTACAGAGCCGTGGGTGATCTTGAAACCAGAACGCAATACTGTGGGAAACGGCAGCCATTTGCAGGAATAATTCACATCAGGAAAATATGTCAACGCGCCCATCTGCATTCCTATCCGCAGTTGACGACAATGAGGGAAACATCTAGAATTGCTATGAGAGAGGGCGAGAGCCTCGGAGATATAGAGGGGGAAAGATTGGGAGATATAGGAGAGAGAGAGAGAAGAGAGAGAAAGAGAGAGAAAGAGAGAGAGAGAGAGAGAGAGAGAGAGAGAGAGAGACAGATGCAAACAGACAGACAGACAGACAGACAGACAGATGGATCCATGGAGACCATGCATGCACGGCCAATGCTCCCCGAAATCCCATGCCGGCCAACACCTCCAGCTAGACACTCTACCCTGCCTCTACTTCGGGCTCTAGACTCTACTAGTCTACAGTATAATTGTAGTCAGTTGTCCAATGATAAGATGAATCTGTATTCCTATTCCACTGCACTCCATTGGAACTGGTTGTCATCGCCAGCCTGTGCATCACTCTTCTGGCCACAGGCTTTCACTTGATCCCCAAGCGGAGAGTGTTGGGAGAAGCTAGCACGGGCTGAACAGCACTAGAAAGACTCAGTCGCAGACGATCTGCAGCTACTTGTAAAATTTCTTCTATTAATTTAATTCCTCAAAACTCATGATTGTGATGCTCGGCCGATATCACATGACATTGTATTGCCAAGGCTGGTGCGGTGTGGAACGTCTCCAGCATGCGAATTTCATCGCCCTGGTCGGTGATAAAACGTTTTCGTGCTCAAACACGTCACTGGCTATTGCAGTAAAAGTCAATTTGTCCGCAGCGCTCCTAGGAATCTAGCATTTCTCATTTGGGTTTCCACAGCCTGTGCACTATGGCATAATATCCAGGCTCGAGCCGAATAACGCGAGTGCAACAAAGTTTTACCCGTATGGTAGTAGTCAATGATATGTCTTTTCACATACATGTAAATTGTACAACAGTGGTGATACCAACTGGTAGTCCTGATGATTGTTTATGTTGTTTTATGCTTCCAGTAAGAATAACGGCGAATATCAAGACCTTACGGCCACGGAGCTGCGGGACTCTGCGCTGGTCGTCTATCCGTGTGGAGGCAAAGCAAACGCGGGCAACATTCTGCTGAAGCGAGCGTGGAGCTGAAGCTGGATTGGTGACTGACGTACCTGCTTACTCCACAACACCGGCGCATAATGATGTACATGTACAAGACTTCGTGAGTATTCAACTCAAATTCGTGTTCCGTCAGCGTCAGTATCAGCAAGTACATGTAGTACAATTTGTTCCCAAAATAACTTCGGGACAGTCTGTTCATGGTTTTCATTTGTATTGGACTCGTTCTCTACACTTGCGATAATTTAGCAGCAACTCTAACGTTGTAGCGTTGTTCTTTTGTAATTTAGTGGAACCTGTATTGAGTAACTGAGTTTTATGTTTCGTTACATTGTCGACAGATCTCCTGTGTACCGATTTTGTGGCACAATGGTTATAGCCATTATATTTTGTCGTCTCCATTCTTGTGCAATCATGCATATGTAGGTTGGTTCTCTTCATGTTATTGTGACCAATTTCATAGATGTTGGTTGCCTTGTTGCTTTCTCTCCCCTCTCCTCTCACCCAAGCCATTCTGCATAAGCGAAGCTGTGGACGCAGCATACTGCTGCTACACTTCAACGCGGGAATGCGTATAATAATAATAATAATAATAGTAAGAATAATGAGTTTCGATGTAGGGTTTCTGGTTTGCTTTGCAAGGCCGACGTGCATAAGGTAAGACCTGATGGCCAGAGTTAGACTGTGGTTTAGTGTACAAGGGTATTGTGGAGACATGTCCTTTTGTTAATTAATGAAGACAGAACCTATACTCAACAAGAAAGACTGTGAAACAACCACAAAAACAAACACCGCGGGGAGACCAGGGGATCCAGGGTGAAGGAAACTGTGCTGGTGAGGGACGCCAACAACGACGTTGGAATTTGCAGACAATTAGACAAGAGTACGTTAGCGTAACGTTACATTGCATTGCGTCAGTAACGCCATAAGCTTGCCTGCCGGAGGCGTTTAACCAATTTCAGTTGAGGCGTCAATAGCGGATTGGCGAAACCCTACAGGTCAGCGAATCAACTTGGTACATTGGCCTATTCGTTCCATACGTATACCGCTATTCACTTGCGGTGTGACATACACTGTATGCGTACAATGTAAATTACGAACGAAGAGAATCTCTACTCGAGTGATAGGAGGATCAAGTGCATGTTACATTTACGTGTGAGTCAACCGTTTGCTAATTATTGGTCAATGCATACAATGAATTACAAGGAGGAAACTTCCTTCTGCCAGCGGAGAGGGCTCAACACAATAATGTGGAGCACTTGTTATGCCTTTTGTGTACAATGACTAACATGTATGTACTTGTACGTATACGGGGTGTTGTACAAGCACTATTGTACATACTGTACATCTCAGTTCCTACAAAGCAAATGACTGTATTGGAGTTATCCCCGTCGTGGTCCCCCTGGCCTGAGTGATCAATTCATCCGCAGTTCCCGCTACTCAGTCGCAGCACATTGCTACTCTAGTCGAGGCGCATGCGATGTCGGTCTGTTGTCCTTCGGGAATAGGTTACAGGTGAAACCAGATGGCCAGTAGTGAGTTGCTCTTACTCAGCTGAAGGACGTTCTAAATCGGGAATGCAAGACCGTGCATTCATGCTCAAGTCGCTCGCTCTCATCGCTGATGTCGGCATGTAATTTGTTCAGCAGAGTCAAAACCATGGTGTCGGTTGGGAAACAATGGTTGTATGGATATACAATGCAAGGAGCTCCAAGAAACCGGTATTAATTGGATTTTGTAATCGGTGAAAACACATGCTTAATGCTCTTTGGGTGATGAGGACACTGTGCTACGATACATAGTCATTCCGTGTCAGCATAGTTTCCATTGCTAGTGGCTGTTTCCGCTTGGTAGTCCTGTCCTTGTCGGGTTTAGGGCAGCTGCACGTATCTAACAGCGTTCCATGTCCTTTCCGTGACCATGCCCTCATCGGCTTCCATCAGGGTATGGGCGAAGCTGTGAATTGGTTCATGTCGGCTTGGAGTGAGATGTTACGCCTCTCTATGACTCTGTTTCAAGGCTTCGTCATTCGTACGTGCTGTAAAGCTCTTATGAGTCGTGATGTCTACCTCCACACACAACATGCACAGTCCGTCCAAAGTCTAACCTTGTTTAGCAGATCAACATCGTTTTCGGGGCTATCTTTGTACATGTAGTTAGCTGTTTGCACGACTATGCCTGGCACTGACGTATCACAATATCAGTCATGAACAATGACTATTGTACATGTACATGTACATGACTGTATGACTGTGTTGTGCTGCAAATCTGTCTTTAATAGAATAAGTTAGATACACTCATGTATCATGTGCATTCGCGGTTGTAGGCGTATACATTTTCGTTTGAAATTTGCACCCTCCTGCGGAGCCCACGCTGCTTTGGCAGTGGCGGAGGCTCGCTTGCCGACGTAACCGTCGGAGACCATCATGAACAATGGACTGACTAATTATTCACTTGTCCTGTCTTTCTAAATAACATGTTATTGCACATGTTCTTGGTTTAGTTTTTGGCCTTTTTTCGTGCTTTGGGGTTACTTGTTGTTTTTGGAGAAAAAAAGAAGTTAGATACACTGTACATGCCCGGCTCCTTGTTTATCTCCTTCAAAATTAATAAACCGACAGAATCATGTCAAGAAGATACAAAAGATGACCAAAATGATTAGGTAATATTGTTTGCGTTCCCGCTCTCCGCCTTCTCCACAGAAACGCATGCCCATAATATCAAAAACGGGCAACGCCAGCTTCTGCAACAACAACCTCAGCAGAGACAGGATCAGCAGTGAGGTGAACTGTGTATGTGCTGCGAGCCCCACGCAGGCACATGACGCTGGCACGTAATAATGCAAAGCTCATGCGGCAGCGGAGGTTGGCCCTCACGTCGCTGTAGGGATCGGCGGTCTTCTCAGCTAGCAGACTAGCAATTCTCTTGTAGGATGCAGTGGCACATCTGCTCATGCCCCAGTGGTAACCTCCGCATGGCCGACGTCCGGGTGACACACCACGAAGCAGGCTTTCGTTTACATGTACAGCCATGTACATGATTGTGCATGTACAGTACATGATTGTGCATGTACAGTACATGATTGTGCATGTACATTCGTGGCTCCTGCTATTATTTCCATGTGGTGTGTCCTTGCTGTGGTATCCAGAGATGAAAGAAAACAATGCAATGATTATGATTGTCTGAGCACTTCTCAAGAAAGCGGTTTTCACAAGGCCACTGGCGGCAGAATGAACTCACCAAAGGTTTGCTCTTCCGCGCAACAGGTTTCACGCAATTCACACAGCGTACCCCGGAGCCGGACGAGTAACTTGACTGGAGTTTATCTTGAGTATAGTCCTTGTACTGGCTGCCCTGAGAACCTGCCAAGAGCAGCTGGCGTATTGTGCTGGCTCTAGCTCTGCCGGTGGCGGGTCAATATTCTCAGACGAATTGGACCTGTCATTCTCCGCAAGAGTAGATTCCTAGAACGGACGATGACTCGAGTGTGTTGTTGGATATTCGCATAGCTTGGTGAACAGCGCCGTGTGGTGAACTGCTGCAAGAGAATTACATGAGGTTGTACGTGTGTTATTGAAGCAGGGTATGGTTTCAGATTCACGGAGGTTAGAAGAGCTAGAGCTGGTTGAAGTTGTGCAGGGAGGCTAAGGGGTGGGTTTGCATATCTATTATGACGTGTGTGGTGTCTATGTCTCTATGACCGTTTGAGATGCCACCAGCGCC